TTTTTTTTTTTTTTGAGACAGAGTCTTACTCTGTCACCCTGGGTAGAGTGCCATGGCGGCACCATATAGCTCACAGCCAACTTCATACTCTTGGGCTTGAGTGATCCTCTTGCCTCAGCCTTCCAAGTAGCTGGGACTACAGGTGCCCACCACAACACCTGGCTATTTTTTGTTCTTGAACCTGTGAACTCAGGCAATCCACCTGCCTTGGCCTCCCCAAGTGCTAGAATTACAGGAATGAGCCACCACATCCAGCCTGAACAATCAATTTAAACAAACCGTAGTCTAGGCTGGGCATGGTGGTTCATGCCTGTAATCCTAGCATTTGGGGAGGCTGAGATGGGAAGATCACTTGAGGCCAGGAGTTCAAGACAAGCTGAACAATGGTGAGACCCCATCTCTATTAAAAAAAAAAATTAGCTTTGCACAGTGGCTTGCACCTGTAGTCCCAATGACTAAGGAGGCTAAGGCAGGAAGACTGCTTGAGCCCAGGAGTTTATGGTTGCAGTGAGCGATGATGATACCACTGTACTCTAGCCTAGGCAACAGACTAAGATGCTGTCTCACAGAAAAAAACAAAAACCAAAAAATAGTCTACCCTTTAATTTCCACCCCAAAGGTATCCTTATCAAGGTTTTCTAAAATTCTAAGTTAAAGTAAGCAGGAGTTTGCCCTTCATGCTGCACACTTACCTGTGAGTGCTAGGGAGTGGCTGAGAGCTCGGTGGTGGGAGGACAGGCCCACTGCAGTGCTCACCAGAGTGCCCGCTGCAGGGGTGGCCACACCCTGAGAATGGTGGAGGTATCTTCAGGAGCGGCATGCTGGTGGAGGGCAGGTAGGAGCTCTCACATGGCCCTGGGGTGTGGGGGGCAGCGGCAGCAACTGGGCACTCTGAAGCCTGGGGAGGAAAAGGTGCTGCCGGGGTGGTAGGCAGCAGGTGTGGGTGAGGTGGGGAGGCGAAGGAGCCAGAGTGAGACGGGATCAGAGATGCTGGCTGGGGGTAGTGGCCAGTGGGGCTGTTAGGGGGAGCAGTGAGGTCTGAGTGCTGGTGGTACTCCGAGATGGGGAAAGCCTCACCTGTGGGTGGAGGGAGCAGAAAGGGATCAGAATGGGAGCCGGGACCCGAGAAGGAAAGCTCGGAGGCTCACTGCCACCACATCCTATTTGCTGTGACTAGAAGGCAAAGCCACTGAGCACAGAGGATCCTGAAGCTGGAGAGGATTCTGTGGGCAGCAGCTTGGCTAGTTAGGCTCCAGAAGAACCCAGGCTCAAGGAAAAAGGCACCATGTATATTGGCCTCTGGAAGGTCCCACCTCTCTGCTATGGCATAAACAGAGGATGTATATATTTTCAGGGTCTCTCCAGGATTCGCCTGTTCAGAGGTATTCCTTAGGCCTGGGGCAGGTCTGTGAAGCCCAGGCGTAACCAAGGTTCTATCGCTGGGTCATAGAGACCATAGAAGTCAAGGTATGCCAGAATTCTGGGGGGGGCGGGGGGGGATGTTCCCAGGTTTCAAAGAAGTGAGAACAGGCTTTGACAACTTTCTCTGCACCAAAATAAATGGAGTTATGTACTGCTCAACTCTCATAATTCTGGAGGCAACCTCATTTTGAAGAACTAAGCCTCTCCATTTAGAAGTACGGCAGTAATCATTATTTATGTAATAAACCAAGAGCCCACAGGTTTTTTTTTCTGGGTCTCTGAGAATTATCTGAGTCTAAAGAAGACTTACACAGCTACTAAATTGGCTAATAATCATTACAGCTTGTATTGACAATCTCGTATTTTTACATCAGTGTTTTTATACCTATCTCTCAGAAATCAAGTCCTAGGAAGACAAGGTCACTTAGGTCCTCTAAGTCCTACTTCTCTGAGGGCCATCCCAGACTCTACTTTCTACTCAAAGAATGCCCACCAGTTCCCCTCTTAGATCCAATGTGAAAGCCACTAACAGCTTTGAGGGGAAATTTTTCTCTATCAGCAGAGAGAGTCCTAAGGAAAGGAGTTCCACAGAGTCCAGGATGTCTTTGCTTCCATGAAAACAGCTCCACTTTTACTTATTTTGGTAACTGATCTTATGATTTGTTTGAACGAAGTGGACAGGAAAACACAGCTGTCTACATTTATGGGGCTGGCTCTCTCCCGATCTTGGGAGACTCACCGGCAATGGTAGGAGGATTCCCAAGTGAGCTGCCTGGCACAGCCCCACTGGAGTGTGGGGAGTTCCAGAGGCCCGAGAGCTTATGTGCTGACAGGAATGAGCTGGGATCCCAATCCCCCGAGTTCCCATGGCAGGAGGAAGAGGACGAGGATGAGGATGATGAAGAGGAAGACGAGGACGAATGTGAGTCACCCCCACAAGACTGCGATTTGCAGGATGTATGTGACAAGGAGATCTAAAGAAGGGGGAAGAAAAAGGCTCACAGTCAAAGAGCAATCATCAGGGCTGACCCTTTGCTACATCAACTTATCCTAAAGGAGCCCTCCCTCCTCCAGGCCCCTGTGGCGCCAAAACAATCAGCCCAGCTCCAGGTGCAGGGACGATGAGGGCCAGGCAGTGTTGATGTTCCCAGCTACATGAAGTGTGTGGGGACTGGGGAGACCGTGACAAGGGCAGACTGTGAACTTGGACCTATAGGGAGTAGTAAAAGCTGCCAAAGAGAGGAAGGGCCTTTCAGTCAGAAGTCTGGAAGCTAAACTGAGCCTGGGTAAAAGAGAGGATCTTGGGGGGAGGGAGGGGCAAGGCTGCCTGAATGCTGAAGACAGCAGGCTCACATGAAGGGGCAGAATCACAACCTACCAGCATCTATGAGCAGGCCCTCATCCTGTGCACAAACTATCCAGAGAGGCCAGTGGGCTGCCAGAAGCTTCTTTCTTCCCCCTAATCTGAACCTGAGCTGCTAAGGCTGTGTCAGTGCACCCCAGCAGCCTTAGTGCCTAGGCATAGAGGCTACCTGAGGAGAGCCACCTGAGAGGAGCAGGCTGACTTCTTTAGGGAGGTTGTCCTCCTGCATTCAGGCACCCTCTTTCAGTGGTTACCTACCGCCACTGCATGTTCTTGACCTGTCTGTCTTTCATCTTCCTCCATGCTCTTTCGGCAACTCTGGCAGACCCACAGAGGCATCTCGCCTAGGAGATTCTTGACGAGCTTTGGCATGAAGTCAGGGGGCAACTTCTCACCCTGCAACACCAGTCCGTTTTGAGAAGGGCCTTCTTCCCAGCCTTTGCGTTCCCGGTGACATAGCAGGCAGCAAGTCTGCATAGAGTGGCTGGAGGCCAGGGGGACCTGTCCAACAGACAGAAACAGGGTTTCCCAGGAGGGGAAAGACTCTCCTTAGAAATAATGTTAACAGTATTAGTAATGCCACTTATTACATGCCAGGCACTGAGTTAGGCACTTCATATACATGATTTAATTTTAGTCTTTGTAACAGCTCTGCAAAGGAGGTGTTTTAATTCTCATTTTTTTTTTTAGATGAAGAAACAGATTTCAAGAAGTTAAATGAGTTGCCCAAGGTTATAGAGCTAGTGAGTAGTTGAACCCCAGTAAGTCTAACTTCAAAGCTCATGCTCAAACATTTTAATGCCTTGGTGTCCCCACATCTTACAGAGAAGATGCCTTTTCCCTCTGTAGCATGTCTGGGAGGGGCCACAATTCTTGGCTGCTTGTACAGCCCACAGACCAATCCCCAATGGGAAGGAAAGTATGCTTTCAGCCAGTGGAGAGTTTAGGAAAACATGTGGGTTTTCTGAAGAGCTGCACAACGCCTTGAGGATCACAGTGACATTTGGAGGGGTTTGTATAGAAAAAGCATCAACTCTATTGAAATATGTGCCAGGGGGAAGGTAAGGCTCTGGTTGGAGCTTCTGAAAGGCAGTGAGTATGGTGAAAAGAACCTGCGCTCTGGAGGGTTAGATGGATATGCATTCCAATCCCTGCCTGACCATGGATTAGCCAGGGGACCTTGAGCAAATTATTTAACTTCTCTGAGTTCTAATTCCTACCTATTTTGCAGAGTTGTTGTGAAGATCACTGCATAAGCAGGTACAGTGCCTGTTCCTGTGCATGCCCACGCATGCGCCCAATACAGTCATTACTTGGACATTTTTTTTCCTTCTAAGTCAATAGGTTTTCTTTCATACTGAAGGGTCCTGACTGGGAGACTGATTGCATTTAATGGCCCCAATTAATGGCTTTCCTATATCCTGCAACTTAGTCTTCCCTCCCACTCTGACACTGGGCTTAGCTATGTCACTTTCTTTGGCAAACAGGATGTGAGGAAACAGGCTGCCAGTCATAAACTTTAAAAGCTGGTATGCATTTCCACTTGCTTCACTGCATGGCTGGGCTTGCTCACTCTTGCACCTCTGCCATGCCATGAGAGTGTGACCAGGCTAGATATCTGCAGAGAAAGCAGAGATTTCCCAGCTCATCAGCCAGCTAATCAGAGATAAATGAGTGAGCCCAGCGGAGATCAGCTAAGATCAGCCAAGCCTGCTCAGTTCAGCAAAAACACACAGTCAAGCAGTAGACTCGTGAAAAACAGTAAAATGGCGTTGCTTTAAGCCACTAGGTTTTGGGGCAGTTTGTTATGCAACAATAGTTAACTGACATACCATCCAAATTTACCCACTGCTAGGTAACATGTGTTTGCAGAAACCTAAAGGAATAAAAAGGGTATCACCCTCATCCTACCAATAAAACAATGCCATCATCTTTCTTTTTTTTTTGAGATAGAGTCTTGCTCTGTTGCCCTGGCTAGAATGCAGAGGCATCATCATAGCTTGCTGCAAACACAAAATCTTGGGCTTAAGCCATCCTCCTGCCTCAGCCTCACAAGTAGCTGGGACTACAGGCATGTGCCACCGCATTCAGCTAATTCTTATTTTTTCTTTTTTTTCTGTAGAGATGGGGGTCTCAGTACGTCATCCTTGGGAGAGTGCTGTAGTGTCACAGCAATCTCAAACTCTTGGGCTTAAGTGATTCTCTTGCCTCAGCCTCTTAAGTAGCTGGGACCACAGGTGCCCACCACACCTGGCTATTTTTCTTTTGTTGTTGTTGTAGTTGTAGTTGTCATTGTTTCAAGCTGGCCTGGGCCAGCCTTGATGTATGTGGCTGGCACCCTACCTACTGACCTATGGGTACTGCCTATTTTTGTTGTTGTTGTTGTCACTGTTGTTCGCAGGCTCAGGCCAGGTTTGAACCTGCCAGCCCCAGGGTATGTGGCTGGTGCCCTAACCACTGACCTATGGGCGTTGAGCCCATGGTCTCACTCTTACTCAGGCTGGTCTCAAACTACTGACTTCAATTGATCCTCATGCTTCAGCCTCCCAGAGTGCTAGGATTACACACATGAGCCATCCCATCCACCCATCTTTCTTGCATGAAATCACCTTTCTCACAATGAGCTGGCAACAGGGTATCTTAATCTATAATGTATAATTACACTGATTTGGGTCCCTGGTTTCTTTTTCTTTTTTTTAGACAGAGCCTCAAGCTGTTGCCCTAGGGAGAGTGCTGTGGCATCACAGGTCACAGCAACTTCCAACTCCTGGACTCAAGCAATTCTCCTGCCTCCGCCTCCCAAGTAGCTGGGACTAAAGGCATCTGACACAACGCCCGGCTATTTTTTGGTTGCAGCCGTCACTGTTGTTTGGCGGCCCGGGCTAGATTTGAACCTGTTAGCTCAGGTGTATGTGGCTGGCACCTTAGCTGCTTGAGTCACAGGTGTTGAGCTGGGTCCCTGGTTTCTTGAAAAAGAAGGAAACCCAATAGTAGTACTAGGAACACAATGAAACATTTGGGGAAGTACAAAGAACTCAAAAGAGTACCAGAGAGATAGAAATTTTAACATGTACAACTCACAAAAAATACTGCCTAAACAGTCTCTGCCAAGGAAACATTTCAGTGAAGCAAGGCAACTGCTTAACAGCAACTGCAAAAGAAACCCACTGATGGTGAGCAACTTTTTATGCAAAGGGATAAAAAGTTAATAGAGAAAGGTATTGTTTAGAGAAATTAAGGCAAAAGAGGCTTTTCTGACAACTGTACCCAGGAGACTTTCCATAGCTACAAGACACCATAGAAATTTTAAGTAGAGGACACGAGGACAAGTTCCTTTCCCTGTCATTGATGGTGAACACATTTTAAGGCAAATACCGTGA